AGTGTTAAACTAAAATTATATTATTTTATTTAATTCAAATTGAAAAATGTTTCATTTTTTATGTTTTTCCCATTTTTTTTCAGTTTTAACTGACATAAAATTACTATAATTGTGTAAATTATTTAAATAACAATGGGTTTGTTATTTTATAAGCCCCTCTGGATTTTAAAAAAGTTAATATTTTGGTTTGGTGAGTCCCGAAGAACAGGTTTACATGCATGCATGTTTACATGAGCTCTCCTCACCCTGTTTATTTTTTCAAAGTCAGTCCTTTCTTTGTGTTTTATTGCTGTGCGTTAATAACTCTGTAAGAAATCATGTTTATTGTAGATGTGTTTGATAGAGTGTCATTGTAAATTTAGCTTTTAATCGCCTCAGGAAAAAAAATATTACATTATGCACTGTGTTTTTAATGAAGTCATCTGTCTCCAAATGGCAAATCTGCACCCGCAGTTGAGTGAAACTCACTGTGGTTTATCATGAACTTATCATTGATAATTTTCCCCGTCATTGACAGCAAGAACTAACACAGAAGCATTGTCTGATTGAAAAGCAGCAGCTAAATGTGTTCAAAAGAATGTAAAATGCCAAATAGGATAAATCTATGCCGCATTTTCTAAAGTAATACAATCTGCATTTAGCTTTTTGCTTGTACGCTGGCTCTGAACTGTAACCTCTAAAAAAAAGCTTTTTCGAACATTACATTTAATTTTATTTAAAAACATTTGAACTGGTTAGTCCTTAGCTCTTTCATTTTCATTTTATTTAAAATATATTTAACTTGCTTTTTGATTAAATCCCATTTTGTTATTTAACCTATTATTTTTATGCAACAGTCAAGTTGCATGTTAATTTGCCTTGAAGAAAAGGAAATAGGGATGTAACGATATCAGAATTTCACGGTACGATAATACCTCGGTATGAATGGCACGGTACGGTATTTATTGAATCATTTACAGGAAAAACGAGACTAATGAAAATACTCCAAAAAAGTGCCAAAAGTGTCAATGACATACATATTAGCCATCCATCTGTAAATCAGTGCAGAAAAAAAACACGTAAAATAACAGCAAAAAATTACAGAAATTTATTAGAAATTTTAATTTAAGGAAATTTCTGTAATTTACCCTTCGTTATTTTATTGTAAATTTCTTCAATCTAACGCCCATTATTTTACGTAAAAAACGTAAAATAACAGATTTTTTACAGTGTATCAATAATCCATATTAATAACTCCTGTATAATAGTCCCACAACATACTTTCACAACTCTCACTCGATGACACTAGAATACCCTGTCAGAAAAGTAATGGTTGGGAATTAGGTTTTTGCAGTGTCTGGTTGGTATAATGTAAATGTTGTTTTCGTGTGCTTAGATGAATTAGGCCATGATGTAAATGCACAGTACAGTTATGAGCTCACTGCCACATTATATTGTTATGATAACATTTCCTAAAGATAAATGGCAAAAAAAATAAATAAATAAAAAAGGATGATAGGAACAACTGCTGCAGTCGGCATTGTCGATTTCATATAAAGTAAGAATATGTGATGGCATATGATGATGTGTGCAGGTGCTGTCACATTTCTTAGGGGCAAAATTTGAAGCTCTTCCCCTTTTCCCTTGAAACAAAGTATGAATGGGTAGGGGTAAAAAAAAAATGAATTGGGATTGGGTCAATTCAATAACTTCAATAACTTAGTTTTCAACGCTGCCGATTAGTGCGCACTTAATGTGCTTTAACCCAACTTGAGCAGCTCTTTTAGTTTAAGGGATTGTGACCATAATCAAATAGATATTTGTTGTCACTTTCATTTAGAAGTTTTATAGCAGCCAATGCTTTTCTTTTGATTTTAAGAAAGAGTTGATCTGTTAACATTGTGAACGCTGTGAAAGATACACAGTGTCAAATGAGCCTGCTGTCCAGACATTATAAATCATAGCTTCCATAAACTGTGGCTACTATAAAACTTCAATAATACCTCCCCTATCAGAACACCGTAGGGAAGGAGGTTGTGTACATGGGGCTGCAAACTAAAACAGACTATGCCCATCTGGATTCATTAACGGGGTGTTGTGTGTGGTGTGTGGGTGTGTGTGTGGGGGGGGGGTGGGGGTTTCTAAAAGCAAGAAGCATTTCAATGCTGCATTATCACAATCAAGAAAAGCTTGAACATTTGAAAGAACAACATGTTTTTTCCTGTGGTCTAATAAAATTAAAACACAGGCAAGTCAGATGCCTCCATGGCCTCATTGCTGCCTCACAATTACAGAGCTGTAGACTTGAAAAAGAACACAAGCACGAGGCAGAAGGAAAGTGGCACCAACTCTGACTTGAATTACGATCACAGATTGTGACCATGTGAAGTTCCAGAGTGGAGGGAGGCTTTAGAGCCGAGTGAATTTAGCACAATTACAGATGTTCAAAACTATTTTATAATGGACTAATTGAAAGGTTAAATAAAGTATATGATGGCTAATCTGTCTTGATGATGCTTTGAATTATTATTCGGCTACACAAGATTCTGATCAGATGAGTTCCTTACTCGTTGTTTAAATAAAAGCACAATGAAAGAGACACTTTTAGGGATAAGTCACCCAAAAAATGTTATGTATTTAGTGTTTACACATGCTCAAGTGTTTGCAAACCTTTACCACTAATGAATATATTTTAAAGAAAGCTAAAAATCTGAAACTATTTATTTCCATTGTGGAAAAAAAATACTGTGGAAGTAAATGACAGTAAGTTTCGAGCTTTAATCAAAATATCTTCTTTTGTGGTTTAAAACAGGTTTAAAACAAGTGATGAGTGAGTGAAATTGCATTTTTGGATGAACTCCTTCAAAATGTGTTTAAAAAATGTGTATCTCAAAAAACTTGACTGCAAGACTTAACAGATTGGCATTAATTAAATTAAGAGGGATAAATTTAATCTAGGGTGGCATGGTGGCTCAGTGGTTGGCACTGTTGCCTCACAGCAAGAAGGTCACTGGTTTTAGCCCTGCCTGGGCCAGTTGGCATTTCTGTGTGGAGTTTGCATGTTCTCACCATGTTTATTGGGTTTACTCCGGGTGCTCCGGTTTCCCCCACAGTCCAAAGACATGCAGTATAGATTAATCGAATAATCTAAATTGCCCATAGTATATGTGTATTTGCGAGTGTGTATAGATGTTTTCCAGTATTGGGCTGCAGCTGGATTGTATACAATAATTATATACAATATTGTACAATAAATGGAAGGTGTCCTAGGGGTTAATTGAAAAGAGTATTAAAAAAACCTCCAGTTTAAGTAGAATTAGTTAAAAAAAAATTGTAAATATTTTCCTAGTGCTGTTTAACAGAGAAAACAATTTCAAAACAATTTTAACATAATATTTTTATACCAAATTTCAAATAAGTACTTTTTTTTTGTCTTTGCTTTGATTATAATAGTAATTTTGCAAGATGCTAGTATTCAGCTTAAAATTCCAATTTAAAGAATTAATGAAGTAATTAGGTCAATTAGGTTTATCATTGGACAACAGTGAGTATGGCATAAATATTTCAAATTCTCATTTAACATGTTCTCTTGTTTGTTTGTTTGTTTTTTACAATAAAGCGAAAATCAAGTGTAGCCATGCAACATGATTATGTTTGTTTGATATATATATATATATATATATATATATATATATATATATATATATATATATATATATATATATATATATATATATATATATATATATATATATATATATATATATATATATATATATATATATATATATATTATTTTTTATTATTTTTTTTTGTAAACCAACAATGCTGTGTGTAAACCATTATTTAAAACAGTCAGCCGCTCACCAACTGATTGGTGGAGAGGAGATGAAGCCAATTATGGTATAGGGATGATTAGGAGGTCATAATAGACAGAGGCCAGTGGGCAGATTTGGCTAGGATGCCGGGGTTAAACCCCTACTTTTTTTCAAAGAACATACTGGGAATTTTAACGATCACAGAGAATTGGGACTTCCGTTTAACGTTTCATTCAAAATACATTGCTCACTGAGCAGAATCCCCGTCACTATACTGGGGCATTAGGACCAACACAGACAACAGGTTGGGCACCCTCCGCTGGTCTCACTAACACCACTTCCAACAGCAACCTATCTTTCCCATGTGCTCTTCCATCTACTGACCATCTAAGTACTGGCACAGCTCTGCTTAGCTTCAGTGGGGAACCATGTGAGAGTTGCAGAGAGCTAGCTGTCGGCCATGTGAAAAATGATCAAAAATAATCACAATTTCACAAATGGTCTAATAGTTTTGCCTTAAACTCTACATGAAAGCATTATCACATATTAACCACAAAATAAATAGCATTTAAAATGCAAAAAAAGGTTTATAGCTGTAATTTTTAAGAGTCGATAATATTAATTATATTTTAAATAAGTATTGTTGTATTTTGTTCTAATAAATCCAGTCTCGATGAAGAAACTTGATAAGACAATTCTTAATGTAAACTTTGACCCAAACTTCTAAAGAGTTATTTTCCTGCTTTTATTATGTTTGGAATCTGAGATTCCACTCTTATCTGACTGTCCTTAGAATCACTCAGAAATAGTACTGAAGCTCAAAAAGACTTTGCGGTATTGACTTGACATAACAGTGGCCACTGTTTCACGGGACCAGCCATTGCCTGATTGCATCAATTTGTCTTTCAGTCCTCCAACTTTCCCAACTTTCAAACTGGCCCCCAGTGGAGAGCAAACTCAATTAAGTCAACAGGAACCAGTTCACAGGATGCAAATTGTTGAATGAAAATGTCAGTTGAACTTCCTGTGACTTTAGGCTTTATGTGTTCGAAATACCATCACAGCCAGAATGGAAAAACTAATCTGCCCTTTTTTTCTGTATTTGTGTGTGTGTGTGTGTGTGTGTGTGTGTGTGTGTGTGTGTGTGTGTGTGTGTGTGTGTGTGTGTGTGTGTGTGTGTGTGTTTTCCTCCTTCCTTCGCAGCGCCATCTGCAGTGACTGTCATCAGGAAGGATCGAACATCAAGAAACAGCATCTCACTGTCTTGGATGGAGCCAGAGAGACCCAATGGAATAATTCTGGACTATGAGGTCAAATACTATGAGAAGGTGGGAGCAGTTTAATTTAGTCTCGCTTAGGGCACTCGCTGCATTAACATTTTAATTTGAAGTCATCACTTTATGTCCTCGTTAGGAATCTTGGTCCAGAGTGCACATCCATATACCTGCGAGCATTTCAAGTCATTAGATGATATGGCTGCATTTGATTGTTCAAAGCGAAATGGTGTCTGTCTGAAAGATGTTTGCCTGAAATTAAATGTTTAACCTACTATCAATGTTCCATGCTATTGCAGAGTAAAACCTATTTCTGCTAGACATACCTTCAGCTACATGAATAAAATCATGTCAGTGCTCATTGATAATTTATTAGAACTATATAAACCCTAATATAGTTTGCACTGTTAACACTTTTTGAAATTACAGTTTTAAACTGTAGTATGAAATATATTTTACTGTATTACCTTTATGCAGTATGTTACCGTATTTTAAAGTTGCATTTTGGGAATGCAACTTGTGCTCTTGGCTCCATTAAAAAAAAGGTATTTTCAATTGGTTTTCAATTTAAAAAAAAGCATAAAACCTGGCCAATAATTAAAAAAAAACAGTAATTTACCATTTGTATAAATGAACAAGTTTTAAATTGTATACAGTATTTTACAGTAAAGATAAACAACACTAGGGCTTCATGGCGGCGCAGTGGGTAGCACAATTACCTCACAGCAAGAAGGTTACTGGTTTGAGCCCCAGCTGGGTCAGTTGCCAATTTTGTGTGTAGCTTGCATGTTCTCCTCATGTTTACGTGCGTTTTCCCTGGGTGCTCCTGTTTCCGCCACAATCCAAAGACATGCGGTAGAGCTAAATTAAATAAGCTAAATTGGCTGTAGTGTATATGTGGTGATGCAAGAGTGTATGGGTGTTTCCCAGTGTTGAATTGGGGCTGGAAGGGCATCTCCTGCATAAAACATATGCTAAGTTGGTGGTTCATTCTGATGTGGAGTCTATATAATAATAAAGGGACTAGGCCGAAAAGAAAATGAATGAATTATCTACAACACTGTAAATGCATGTACATCAAGATAAATTGTGATGTGAAAATTAATACAGTACTGTAAGTTTCATTTACAGTAAAATGCTGTTAGTAAGCTACTGCAAATTCTACAGTAAATTGTCAATATTTTATACATTATAAAATAGAAAGATTTAGGAAGATCCTCAACAATAGCGACAATGCTCCTATTCTTATTCATCTACACATTCGTTCTTGACATTACTACGCCACCATTTTTTTTTCTTTTGTTTTACTTTTTGTTGCTGTACTTATATATTTTGCTTGTTTTGACACATTATGTAAAAAATTATCACAAGAAAATAATCAGTTTGGTATGGTCAGAGAGAAAATTGGTGTTGAGCCCTGAAAAATCACGTGAAATAACATGAAACTGCAATGCGACACTATGAAACCACAACCCAGAAAAAAAGTGAAATTAACAAGGAGACATGTGGACTAAATTTTAATCAAGTAACTTTCGCATGCAAAAAAAAAAAAATTAATTTATGCATATAAAATATATTTTCCTAGCAACAAAATCATGGCTAGTGAAAAAGGCAAGTGGCTAGTATTGTTGAAATACTACTAGCCACAGTGGCTGGTGATTTAAAAAAGTTAATGTAAAGCCCTGTTTTCAAATAATATAATTGTGCAGCCCACAAATTTCATTGCTATTTAAACTGTGTAAGGTTTTTTAAAATGAGATGGAAAATGTCATCCATTAATTTACTTTTGTTTTGGAAATCACTATCATTTCTGAGTCTTCATTCTGCACAGATTTCTTTGTCACAGCATGTGTGGTTCACAGTCACTTTAGAGGAAACATTGCTTAGTACTCACTGACCAGGTCAGTTCATTTTAAGCCTTCTTAACAATCTGTGAAAGTGCCAGATGATCCTGGCTTTGGTCTTGTAACGCTGAAGGCAGTGATCTAAACACCACCTGCCCAATAAAGCCTTTGTGGGCCGCAAGCCCATACTTGTCCATCTTAAAAAAAAAAAAAAAAAAAAACTTAGCACAATCTTTCCTCTCCCGTCCGGTCGGCCTCTCTGCTGGTTTCCTGCAGATGCCATATGATTAATGAGCCGTATAGGGATTCGGTCTTGATTGAGGGTCAGTATTGTTGTGCAACATCAGCGCTGCTCTTTTAGGGTCAGTTTTCAACGAGCTCTTTCATGCTGTCAGATCTTGTGATGTCTTCTGCTCTTAGGTGAAGTGGGTAACGTCTCCCGCACTCGACTCTGGCTTTGGAACTTAACCGTTCCCTGATATTGTGGGAGTCTCCTCTCCTAAACTGGCAGGGGATCTGAGGGTGTGAAAGTAAGCCCTAGAACAGTCTCCAATGGCAACCATCCAGGATTCTTCCCGCAGCAAAAACATTTCGTAGCTTAGTGGGTAAATGGCTTGACTGTATGACCACACAGAGACGCACATATTGAAATTGTAGACAGAATCTGGTTGTCTGCAAGACATGGTTCATCTTCATCATGACAAAAAGGTCTTACAAGTTCAAACTGAAAGCTCATGCCAATGTTATAGACGAGTAGTTAATTTCAGCTTTCAGCTTTCCACTTTCCAAATCTTAAGGCTGAGTGATATAGCAAAAAAATTATAGTGGGATATTTACTAGTAGCCCTCTGTCAATATTTTATGGCTGTTGAAATATCTATGTCTGTTGAGTTTCATGTATTTTCTTTGGTGGATAATTCCAAATGTATTATTATTATGTTGGCTGGAGAAAGCCAACATACTGTTATGCTACTCTGTCCTTGAAAACAAACGTATCTCCTCCTAGGCTGTTCATACCACAAGGCCCAAATGTGGTCAAAATGTGCTTTCTACATTTAAGATTGTTGCTATATCTCCTCATGCCTATAAGACATATTGTTTTTTAATAAAAAAAGTTAAATTATTATTTTTTTATGATCCGGGCATATAAAAAAATTACTCAAGCCCCAAATTTGGCCAAAAGCTGTATTTAGATGCGTTAGATTTTGTTGCTCTATCTTTAAGGTTTATCAGACTTATAGTTTTCCAATAAATAATTTTTAAGCATTATTTTTCTTATAATATGGCAAGCCATTTTTGACTTAAACTCCATATTTTTTACTGATATGGCAAACCATTTTTGCATGTATCACTTTCACACTTATTAAGCATTGTATTTTCAAAAAAATACGGTAAGCCATTTTTACATAAAGTTCATTTCCTTAGTCTCTTTATTAATCAGGGGTCGCCACAACGGAATGAACCGCCAACTTATCCAGCATTTGTTTTACACAGCGAATGCCCTTCCAGCCGCAACCCAACACCGGGAATACATAATGTTCAAGTCCAGTTTTTGACACTCATAAAGACTGTCATAGAAACATCGGGGTTGATTAAGGTCACTCATATTGTCAAGAAGCTTTGATGTATCATCACTAACTCAAATGTCCTCATAGCAATAAAACAGTATAACCTAGCAACCATTTAAAAATAGCAATATCTCTACATCAGAACATCGTAGGGACCTGGGCATTGGCTTGTTTGACTCATGCTAGCAAATGGGACTTCCTGTGTACTATGCATGGTAACAATGATAATGGAAGCCAAGTGCTAATAACGATTAGCTACATGCTATGAATGATTATCTAAATACAATAAAATATGCTAGAAATGCCTACTAAGTATTAGCATTTGATCAAACATGTACACAAGCATTGCCATTTAGCAACTGCTTAGCAACCACCTAACAATGCCATAATTGTTTTAGCAACTGCCTAGCAACCACTTAACAACTGCCACCGTGCTTCCTGCTAACTGCCATTCCTAGTCCTAGCGCAGTCACGTTGGCTTTCTCAAGCCAAAATCAAAGTTTATCAATAAACTTTAGGTTCTAGTTTATTATTTAATATTATTATTATCATTATTATTATTATTATTATTATTATTATTATTATTATTATTATTATTATTATTATTATTATTTTTAATATTAATATTAATATTAATATTAATATTATGTTTTATTTATACCCCTTGAAAATTAGCAAATAAAGATACTTTTAACTTTTTTTTTTTTTTTTTTTTTTTTACCAGAAATGACGCAGACTTTTCCCAAAATATGATAAGATTAATGTACAAGAGGCTTCATAGAGAAAAAAAAATATTTCTAAGCTTTTACTTACCTTTGAACAAAAAAATGGTTTTAATATGCAGTAAAAGGGTTGTGGCACAGTGGGTAGCGCTGTCGGCTCACAGCAAGAAGGTTGTTGGTTTGAGCCTCAGCTGGATCAGTTGGCATTACTGTGTGGCATTTTCATGTTCTCCCTGTGTTCGCATGAGTTTCCTCTGGGTGCTCCGGTTTCCCCCTGCAAGTCCATAGACACTAAAGGTCTCTTAGTAAACTTTATTCAACCCAACAACCATCTGTTGAATAATTTTGTCAGGACATTTTATCTGGGGGTTAATTTCCAAACATGGTTTATTATCAAACTTACACTACCGGTCAGTAGTTTGGGGTCAGTATGGTTTTTAAATGTTAAAAAAAAAACATCTCAAGTCATCAGAGTCACGTGATCCTTCAGAAATTGCATCAATATTGCGCCCACTACAATGGATACCACATGACATTCCATTTTTCTTAAATTTGGAACATAATTAAGGTCTGAGGGGATTAATTATTTTTGTTATTATTAGCAATAATATTAATGGTAATAGTAATGAAAGCAATAATGATTGGAGTAATGATTTCATTTGAAACAGTAAGTAATAATTAAATATTAATTACATTTAATTACATTTAATAAATGCCACCTTGATGAACAAAATAATTTTATTTAAATTATTAAATAAATTGTTTTTAAAAATTAAAGAAAAAAACAAACTGACCACAAACTTTTGACCGGTAGTGTAACTATACTTACATCAATTGTACCATATATTTACTGTATGTAAAGCTTCAAAAACATATATGACAAAAAATTAAATGGTTTGCTTTACTTCAAAAGGGGTAGGC